GGGTGGCAGTTATGACGATGACAGTGGTAGGATGGTGGTCGGGTGGCTAGGAGTAGATGGGTATAACAGCGACAATAATGGCATGGTGGTTAGTGGTGAGGTGGAGTAGGGTAGGGTGGGGGTGAGTGGCAGCATAGCGATAATAATGGTGTGGTGGTGGGGGTTAGGTTAGGGGCGAGACAGTAACGGTAGTAGCATGGTCGTAGCAGGGATGTGCAGTGAGTGACCGAGGGTGGGTGGGTGTGATGACAACAGTAATGGCATGGTGGTTAGTAGTGGGGTAGGGTGGGTGGCGGTGACAGTAGTGGTGTGGTGGTGGTAGTGGGGGGGTTAGGGGTGGGGCATCACATGCAGTAGTAGCATGGTCGTTGTGCGTGTTGATGGAATTCAATTCCTTCTGATTATGATAAGGATTGATGAATTCCTTAACTTGTGAAATTCATTGGAATTTGAAGGATTTCATCCATTTCAAGATATGAACCAAACAAAGGAATGAAATTTGGTCAAAGGAATTTATCATTCCAATTCCATCAAATTCCTTCGAATTCCGCGAATCAAACGGCCTCTTAGTTTTTCATCCAAATTCCGGATTCTATCCGAATTCGAGTTCTAGCAGAAAGGTTGATATTCGATTGAATCAACAAGCTTTAGAAAAGTGATTCCGGGGTATTCACATAATCAATATGTTTAACCTTCAGTTCAATTAGCATCACTTTAAAAAAGGATATTGTGTTTATCTTTAAAGGAACATGGCATTAACTTAAATTGTTAAATGCTTAGATGGAAGAAGAAGAGAATTCGTCGATACTTGTGTTCCTTTATATGAAGCATCGATCACAGGAGATTGGAAAACTGCAAATGAGATCCTTCAAAACAGAAGATATCAGCTGGTACGTTATAGTATCACTGAACATTGTGACACCGCACTTCACGTTGCTGCATCCGCTAGCAACACTGAAAGCACCAAGTTCGTGGAAAATCTTGTGAAAATGATGAGAATGGAGGACTTACAGCTTCAGAATAAAGGTGGCAACACTCCCCTTTGTTTAGCAGCTGCAGCTGGAAACGTGGACATTGCTACGATTATGGTGGATATGAACCAGGAGTTGCTGAAAATCCCTAATTGTAGCAGACAGACGCCACTCTATATTGCTGTTTTATTTAGAAACAAAGCTATGGTGAATTACCTCTACGATAAGTCTCCAGAAATGGATGCTCTAAGTTGGACGCCTACAGAAAAGGGGTGGGTTTACTCCAAATGTGTCGAGGTTGATCTCTTCGGTAAGTAACTGTTGCAAAAATCTTATAGTTGATTAATTAAACTTGGACCATTTTTCTTCCATATATGTTGGAATCTCTCTTCTTTCAGTCAAGAACTCTATTCGAGGAGTGGGGTTCCACATTGACTATTAGTTGCACATTCCACAATCAGCAGGACCATTGTTTCACAAATTTTGGTTGCCTATTGTTGCTTTATTCGTGACATTTTTCCTTTCAAATCATTTGCAGATACGGCACTAAAAATATTTGGACGCCACCCCGACATTCCTAAAAGAGAAAATGCACTCGGACTTTTGGCTAAGAAGCCTTGTGCATTTAATGAAATAAAACCGCATATTGTCTGGAGAATCGTCAGTACAAGTATCTTTCATACTATATACATTCAGCATATATTACTACGTTAGTTTATAATAAAAAGGCTAAATATCATGAAAAGTTAAGAAGAGAATATTAAAAGAAGATTCATACGTGAATCATTGAAAAAAATCCATTTAAAAATGCATACGTGAACCAACGTTACAGATTATACATATTGATTCATATATTTATCTTCAAATTCAATGATTCAAACATGAGCCTTTCATTAATCCTCCCTTCTTACCTTCTCGCGATATTTAACCTTTTTATTTGAACCAGTATTAATACTTTTAAGTATTTTTCTTACTTGATATTGTTGCTTTCGTTTTTGGCAGTCACTTGTAATAAGGTCGGACCTGTTGCAAAAGAAAGTAAAGCCATGCAATTGCTAAAAGAAATTTGGGCAAGTATTGAAGAAAAGCCAAAGAGCGAAATAGATGGGATACTGAGAGGCCCCCCAACTGTGAAAGATAGGAAGCGAACATACCCCTCTCGAGTACTTTTTGTTGCTGCCGAATTCGGGAATACTGAATTTGTGGTTGAGCTTATTCGTAAATATCCTGATCTTATATGGAAGCAAAACGATGATGGTCAAAGTATCTTTCACATTGCTGTCTCTCATCGTCGTGAAAGTATCTACAATCTTTTATATGAGATAGGCTCAACGAAGGCTTTCATAACTTGTCTCAAAGACCGAAAAGGCAATAATATGTTGCATTTAGTTGGAAAGAAGGTAGAGAAAAACCAACCTCCCGATGTGTCGGGAGTGGCTTTTCAACTACAACGTGAGTTATTATGGTACAAGGTACATCATTCTCTCCAAGATTTTGAATTTCTAACCATGTATACGTTGAAGACGTTTAAGTTAGTAATGGAGGATAAGGGTCTATATCGCTTAATGAGCTTCATGAGACTCATTGGTTATTCAGTCAGTTGTACATACCTATTTGGCAGTGGTTTAATGATATAGAAAGCGGCTTATTCAATAAGCTTCTAGAGGGAGCTTTATGCAGAAAGCCAAGTTTTTTCCGAACTTGTCTCTCCTAATTAAAAAAACACACTCCTTCTATCTATAAGAAAACCCTCCTAAACAAAAACCTTGTCAATCTATATAAACAGATTGTGTAGTCTACACTAGGGGTGCTCGACCAACCCGATCAACCCAACCCAACGCGAAATAACCTAACACGAAGCAACTCGATGTCTAATCGAGTTGTAAAATTGTCAAACTGTAGGTATTGGGTTACTATTATTTGAACCCAACCCAACTCCACCCAACCCGATGAACCTGATGTCCTTTTATTTATTGGATTTAATATGATTGTTGAATTTATATTAATATATATACATTAGACAATTACACTATCATGTATGCTTTTCATATACACATATTTTCAATCTATTCATATCTCTATATAACTCATTCATATATATGTTCAATGACTGTGAACATATATATGTAAATTGTATCAAATGGTTGATGATGAAAAGAAATTATGAGTAGAGAAATAACATATTCAAGGTTAGAAGAATATTTTAATATACCAAAGTATCAACCTGACCAACCCGTACGGGTTGGGTTGCACTTTGGTTTGGGTTGGGTTAAGATTTTTCCAAACCGCAAGCATTGGGTTGAGTTATTCAAATGTCTTCAACCCAACCCATGAGCACCCTAGTCTACAAAGATAACTTTACTCATTCAGCACTTTATGAAAAATCAACCAAAGAGCCACTAAGTTATACTAGTAATAGAGGATGTTGATCATCTCATATTTTGTGTTGCAGGAAGTAGAGTCTATGATCCCTCCACATTACAAAGACCAGAAAAATGATGATGACCAAACACCACACGAATTATTCACCAAGACCCACAAAGATTTAGTTTCCGAGGCCGAGAAGTGGATGAAGGGAACGGCTAGCAAATGCATGGTGGTTGCCGCACTTATAGCCACCATAGTATTTGGAGTCGCTTTTACAATTCCGGGTGGATATAATGAAAACAACGGCTTTCCTTTGTTCCTCCACGAAGGACCTTTCATAGTGTTCGTCGTATTAGATGCCATTTCTTTGATCTCATCCGCGACTTCAATCCTTATGTTCTTATCCATCCTCACTTCGCGTTATGCCCAAAAGGATTTCATAGAATCGTTACCCAAAAAACTAATGGTAGGTCTAGCAACACTTTTCTTCTCTATCATGACCATGATGATCGCATTTAGTGTCAGCTTCTTTGTGCTATACCGTCACAGGTTTATCCCGATAGCAATTGTAATTAGCGTACTTTCTCTTATACCCATCATTGCGTACGCTAAACTACAATATCCTCTTTTGGTGGATGTGTTCCGTTCAACATTCGGATCGAGGTATCTCTTTAAGCCGAAAGAGCGAATACTTTACTATCAAAATCCAAGGGTGTAAGTGTTGTAGTTATTAGTTGTGAATTTGAGATTTCTTCTGTAGATTTTTTGTTAGGAAGAAAGGGATTAGAATTTTGATTATTTGTACGTGAAGGATTTGTGCTTTTCTTAGTTGAAATGTATTTCTGGTATTGCTTCCATCCCGGGCTGGCCCTGGCCACGTGCGGCCCGTGCGACCGTACAAGGCATCAAAGCCAAATGGGCATTAAGCTGTCATTTATTACTAGATTTAGGTTTAATAATTTGGGAATTGGACAGATGAACTTTAACTATAAAAACAGGGCCAAGGTCTAGTAGTGATAATACCGAATGCACATCGTTGGAAAAAGTTGGAAAGTTGGAAAAGTTTTTGTTTGCATAAAGTTGTCCGCATGAATAAAGTTGTATGTATGAATTAATCTGTTTGTATAAGTTGGAAAAAATTTTGTTTAAGAGAGTTTTTTTCGCATATGTAAGGAGCATTTTTTTAGTTGGAACATGTTTGGAAAAAAAAACTTAGCGTTCTATATAAAGTTCCCGCTACAAGTTTACTGGATAAGTCATTTTCTATATCATTCAGCCACTATGAAACAATCATACATAGTTGATTGAATAAGTTGTTCCATTAAATTTATTAAGCTGCTAACACAAGGCCCTTAAGCCTTTAGTCGTTAGACCTTAACTTTTGAGTTTTCCTTTTTGCTTACTATGACAGTAATTTGGATGTAAGTTAATATTTTAGTTAAAAACTAATTATAGTGTTCCTTGTCTTTTAGGTCCCATATATTGAAATAAAGTTTCTATTTTGCTAATTTCAATTTGGAAAAGAGAAAGCCGAAAAAGAATGAAACACGATCTTAATCCGTTATTTACCCTTTTATCGTTTTATATTTTGTATTTGAGGTTTTGGTTTTTATGTCCTCCCATTGTATTTTTTTATTATAATTAATAAAAATCAACATGGGATAAGATACTTAGCTTGAACAGATTCCAAACTCTTTAAAAAATAGCATGTTTCGTTGTTTCATTGGCTTAAAAAAAACAGGCTTAGAGGCATTTTTATTATTATTTTCGAACAGAGTATAAAAAATCTTAGGACCGGCACTGCTTCCATCATGTGGATTATTTATGAGAAAGATTTGTCTTTATAATGTTTCAGTATTTTCTAAATGTAATAAGACAAACCTTATATTACATTCCAACTTTCACATAAAAAATGAGACATGACTGAATTACACAAACATGAAAGAGATGCTTTATAAAGGAAAATTAATGTAAATATTCATCTTCTAGCCAACTCTCTCTTATACTCACCAAAAAGTCAGTATTTTCATAAGTGCCTTTGATGTAACTAGCTGAAAAGACACTTTTTTAAAGTAACTCTAAACGTCATTCCCAATTTTCAAGATAAGATTGTCACTTGCGGAGGGTTGAAAGAGTGTCACTAGCAGAGGGGGCAACTTCCGGAGGGTTGAAGAAAGCTTCCTTCTTTTTTTGGTTAAAATACCCCCGCCGTAAGTTGGGGTTGGGTGCTTGTGAAGGTATTGACTTTTTAGTGAGTGAAAAAGAGTTGGGTGGGAGGTGAACTGAGATAGGTAAACGGCTATTTACATTAATTTTCCTCAGAGGTTTGGTTAGAAATTCAAAATACCAAATGTAATAAGCAAAAACAAGTAAACAACCACCATACTTCTTATGGTATATAACAACAATATTTTATCATTCTTGAATTCTAACTTCAAACGAAAGATATTGAATTAGTTTGATTTGGTAAAATTAAACTTAACTCAGTGGATTCTCAAACTTAAAAGTGGGTGATTGAAGAATGTTTTTATATTGCACGATTTAAAAGAACTGCAGTTAAAAATGAAAAAATCTTGAAAATTTAAGGAAATCTGATAAGCACCAAATGATGAAATTTGGGCTCAACTATTTGAGCCCAAACATATACGGTGTTTTAAAAAAAAAAATAGGGCAGTTTTTAAAATGTTTTGTATAAATAGGGAATTTTTAATTTGTTTCACAAAACTAGGGACCTGGTAACTATTTTGAATTCAACCCCATAACAAATTTCAATTACATCCTTACCTTTTTTTTTAGTTATTATTAGAAAAGTATGGTTGTAATACTGCTACATATATTTTGATTTTAATATTTTATTTTATTTTTTATTTAGTATGATCTTATGTGATTTTGAAAAAAAGATGATATTTTTATTTTTGAATAAAATACAAATTTAAAGATATCATAAAAATTTGACAAAAATATATCGATATTAATATCAAATTAACTATTTAAAATTTCTATTTTTTGTGTAATTTTTCAATTCAATTTTTTTATTATAATTTAATTTTAGTTTTAATAACGAAGTAATTTATATTTGGTTTAAAAATATAATTTTCTTATAAAAATAATAATTATTATTTTGTTAGAACTCAATAATTATTTTAATTATATTTTAGATTTTTTAATTTTAAAATGAGATGTTTATCCGCAGTTAGTTACACGAATTCAAACATGGAGCTTTAATAAGATGTACTTATACATAATTTATGTGTAATCTTGAATTTTAAGTAATATGCATCAATATACAGTACTTTATGCATAAAAAATGGTTTTTAAATTATTTTTTTGTCAAATGCTTTATAATATAGTATATATATTATACATTCGTTATATATTTTGTATATATTTAATTATGGTAAATATATAACTAAGAAAATTAATTTCTTATTTTTAACAATTTTATTTTATAAAAAATATCTCATCGGTACTTTTAGTGACACCCCTTTATTTTATTTTATCTTTATATTATATTTTATGTATAAGTTTCTTGTAAATATATATTTGGATTTGTATTATTTTTATTTATGTATAAATTCAAATCAGCTAAAATATTTAAAATGTCTAAAATCAATTCATTTCAAATCGTTTAAAATTGTATAAAATCAAATCAAGGTAAAAAGTTAAAAAATCTGTAAAATCGAATCAACAAAAAAAATATTGTGCAATAAAATCAACATGATTTTACTTGTTAAAAATATGTAAAATTAATTAAGTTAAAAACATTTAAAATTATATGGAGTATGCCACCAACCTCGTCATAATCGAAGAAATTGTCCAAATTCTCAACTAAGATTCAATTCGTTGTGAAAACTGTAATTTTATTTTAATTGAGATTACAAGTAGATTGTGCGTAACTACAATTTATTAAAGCTTTATGTTTGAATTCGTGAAACTAAATGCATGATAAACATATCATTGTAATTATAAAAAAATTTAAAATATAATTAGGATACGTGTTGAGTTCTAACAGAATACTTAGTTATGATCTTTATAAAAAGTTATATTATATACCAAAAATAAATTGTTTCGTTATTAAACTTACAAAAATATATTATTAAACCAAAAATTATATATGTTATTTTTTCAAACTTTTATGATATCTTCAAATTTATATCTTATTCAAAAATAAAAACATATCCTTTTTTTAACCACATAAAATCGTGTTTTGACATCGATAGAGATAAAAATAAAACGAAACATTAACATCGATATGTATCTCGCTGCATTGCGCGAGTATCTCTCTAGTTATATTATAAATCATTTGACAAAAACTCTTAAAAATCATTTTTATACATGAAGTACTGTTTATTGATGCATATTACTTAAAATTCAAGATTATAAGTAAATTGTGCGTAAATACAACTTATTAAAACTCCATGTTTTTGTTTGTGTAACTAACTACATATAGACATAATCAAATACAAAATAAACATCTAATTTTAAATACGAAAAATCTAAAATATAATTATGAATCATTGAGTTTTAACAGAAAAATATCATTAAATCAAAAATAAATTACTTTGTTACAAAATCTGAATTAAAAATTACGATAAAAAATTGAATTAAAGAAATTAAAAAAAACAAGAACTTTTAAATAGTTAATTTGATATTAATATGGATATATCTTTTTCAAAATTTTATATTTTATTCAATACTAAAAATATTATCATTTTCTCTAAACCACATAAAATTGTATTATAACATCGACAGAAACAGAATAAAACAAAAAATTAAAATCAAAATGTATCTCGTTGCATTACACGAATATCCTTCCAATAATCTGGGGTATATAAAATATAAATATATAGAGTTGAACCTACTTTTTGCCTTCAAATGAGGCCTCACAACAACAAACAGCCCAACCCAGCTTATTTCAGCCCAATAAGCATCTACTTCAATCCATCAACAATGATTTTGAAATTAAATGATTTATTCGTCTACCTGCGTTCAGATTATCGATATAATTCAGTCTTTCAAAAGGTTAACGATTCAAACGTCACCAGCTACGAAAAACACACACAAATATCTGCCGAATATAAATATTATATACTTTAAGAAAAATAACGATTTTGAGGTTCAAGATCACAAAGATTCAGTTTAATTTCTTAGTTTTGAGTTTTAATTCATACGAGAACAGTTTGAAAACAAGGAGTCGTTTACCAAACACTTATCCAATAAGTGTTTACTGGTAAAATTCAACACTATCACTCTCCATTTTCCTAAGAATCATGACAACCTTTTCACTACAGCAGATCACTCTTGATTCAACAACAGTGATCCCACATCTTATTATTAATTCAGGTATTTTTTGTCTTCTAATTTTCTGTATCTGTATACCTACATTCCATTTCTACACCGACATTCATGCCTCCAAATTCCTACTTACATCTAGAGATGACCAAATCGGCATGGCCCGGCCCGGGACTTCCGGAGGACTGGGACCGACAAAGGACCGGTTATAGGACCGAAAACGGGGACCGGTTGAGGTTTTTGGTAGTTTCGTGGGAGTGGGACCGGGACCGGTTATGCAACCGACTATGGATCGGCCCGGCCCGAAAATTCAAATAATTTTATAAATAAATGTATTTTTAAATAATTTTATAATGTATTTTTATAAGAAAATGTAATTTTAATTATATTAAACGCATTTTTAAAGTGTATTTGAGTGACCCAATTGTAAATTTTATAATGTATTAAAAATATATATCATTAAAAAATCAAAAAAAAAATCTTATTTCTTAATGCAAGGACCAGTTGGGACCGGGACCGGCGGCCCATAACCGGTTATGAACCTTGACCGGTCCTATCATTTTCG